TCTCCGCTCTCCTCATCTTCTCTTTCGATCTTGTCTCCGACCGACTTTATTTTTCTGTGCTTCGTGAGGCTTTCCAGATTGCGGGTTCAGGGGTCTACCCCGTTGTTTCAGATATGGCCAAGACAGTGAAGAACATGGCCCTCGAAATTGTGGGAGTAGCGAGCGCCTCCTCTAATCTCCGCCAGCCAGCTTTCAGGATTTTAGCCGCCAGGCCGCGGCAGCAATGGCGGCGACCTGACTGGAGCCGAAGGGGGGGGGGCCTGCATTGGCGGTTTGACGATGCGGCACCGCTCATCGTCTCTAGTTCTTTTTGTCTTTGCGATCGCAACCGCGAGGGATCGCACAGTGGCTTGGATCTGCGATGGTGCCGGTAGTCATGAAATTGTGATGAACCTCACTGCTCAATGTATGTGGGGGAGGGGATATGAAAGGCTGACCCTGGTGTTTGAGGATGTTTTGCCACTTTTCATGAGCCATCGCAATATGGCCGCTGTTGCGAAGCGTCGAAATTGCTTCGCACTCTGAGACTTGCGCACTGGAGGTCAGCAGCGCAACGCAAGTTTTGACCCCTTTGGAAAATTCATCCGAGGGCCTTCTGGGTTGGCCAGCGAGGCTCGAGTCAGGCCGGGCCTTGTGTCCGACTCGGGGTGACACCAGCAGCCTCGTGGAGCGGGAGTACGATGTAAGACACAGGACCAAAGCAGGGCATATAAACCTAGATGGGGGTTTAGCGAATACGTGGGAGGATGCTGTGAATAGGATGGGGACTATTGGGTACGTGAAGCGTGGGCGAGCTGCGTGGCCAGAGCCTTGGCCGGCCATTATTAGGCCAAGCAAAGCTTCGAGGGAGGCGTTCAATGGAGGCATTCAATCACCAACTGGTTGGGTTTGAGCACAGGACAGCAGCTGGCTCGAAGCAACAGCAGCAGAACCATGCTTGCCCTTGCCCATGAAATACATCGCACTTGCTAATAACAGCCGCCGTCCGTGCAAGGCAACCTGAGCGTTTGGGGCCCACCATATCAAAGCCGTATTAATGGTACGGGCACGCGATGCCGTGCAGGAGGGATCCTTGGGCGAGCCGTCAGTTGAGTTCCGGTGAGCAGGGCCGGCGTGCGCCGCAAGGAAGGAGAGCAATTTCCAGCATTCGCTTTGGTCGTGCTGCCACTGCTGCTGCTACTAGATGGATCGTTCTCGACGACGGACGCCCCGAATGGATCTCGTAGGCTAGTACGGACACGAGAAGGCGGAGAAGGGTTTTCAACGAGACGGCGTTACGAGCTGTTTGCCCGTTTTTGGGGGGAGGTATGCTTGCCCCATTCATTCATACTGTGTCTGTGGTGCTCACCACACACATGCGCTAAGTACCATGATTCGTAACAAAAGGCCAAGTGTTCTAGGTGTGCGCGACCAAGGCCCAAGGTTCCATTGCGGATTGAGTGCGCCAGCTAATCCCAAGAACGAGCGAGGGGAGCTCGTCGTCGAGGATGAAAGGATGATGGGCCACCGAGTGTATCCACTCGGTATCCTTGACTGGCCAAATTTATACGAAGGCTGCTCATTGGCTTAACTTTGCCGCCAGCTGCGCTCCTGCTTGACGACCGGGAGAGCTAAAAATAGGGTGGCTCACATGTTTCGCAGTTGCTGGCCAGTCACAGACCGCAGACGGGCGGCATCCACCTCGACAGGATCCGCTTTAACGACCGGAGCTGGCCACTCAGCGCCTCTGATCATCGAAGTGCTGGAGTTCCCACTGCCCAGGTGGCCATCTTCGGCGCTAAGCTCCCTTGGGGCGTACGGTAGGCCTAGCAACATGCGGATGGGAGCCCCTGCGCCCCCTGTCCCGTG